CTGGATCAGAAATATTACACCGTGCGACAAAAACCAAAAATTTTTATAACACACGAAAAAAATCAATATATTCCCAAAACAATGAGCCAAATATAGTGTACCTGCGTTTTTAATTTTTCTCTCTGACGTCAAGATTTTTCTTGAAGTACTTTGAAATTTGAGATTTGGTGCATTTTAGGGTAACAATATGGGTATCAATTAAACCGAAAAATTCTGAGGAATTAAAAAATAATTATTTTTTTGGTGCACCAGGACGGATAAGTGTTGAAAATGTCCTTTTAAAACTTTATCCTTGAATATCCTTGGAAATTTCCAATATTTATTTTTGAATAAAATATATACCAAGGACTAATATCCCACACACACCACATCCTCGAATTTCGTCCTTCTACCTTTATTAGGTTCAGATAAAAAAAAAATTTTACACTTCTCTTATAAGATATCGATAGTTACAATATACATAAATGAAGATGGGAGTTTGCAAAATTTTTCCGATTATTTTACGTTACTTTTCGGAACATGTCCTGTTTAATTTTTCGGGGTCTATTAAGACACTTTCTGAGGATTCTTCGTGTTGTGTTTGTAATCTTATGCTTTTTTGGAATATTTCTGGATTTTTTCGAAACCGTTCTGGGTTTTTTATAAGCTTTACATTTAAATCCTAACTTGGTCTCTACATAGATGGCTGCTTTTTTCGGCTAAAATATTAGCTGTGACTTGAAATTTTGGGCTAATAACACTGTGCGACAGTCGAAACTACCCCTGACTTTGTTAATACTTTCTGAAAGTGTACTCATCCAGTAATAAAACCCTCGATGGATTTGCAAAAGTTAGCTCGTATTTTTATTTTATGGTCTACTAAATTTTTCATGTCCCGACCCAAGTAGTTTTCAAAAAAGTGGAAAAAATGGCTAAAATAAATGTCTGAGCGAAATTAAAGGTTAGTTCGTATGTACGTAGTAAAATTTCATGGAAAATAATTTCCTAGCACATTTTAAGCTATAAGCTCTCGCCTGAAAGCGTCGTTTTGACCCTTACTTCAAAAGGCTCCGTAAAAGCTAATTTAGAAGGTCGTTAGAGGATTAAGGCAAAAACTTATTGCCACTAACGTAAAAGTCTCCGTAAAATTAAAATAAAAAATCTATGCCAAGAAGGAATAACTGCCAAAATTAACTTCAAAAAGTTGTTCAAAGAAAAAAACCAAGTTTTTTTGCTAATTTTTTGTTTAATTTTATTTTAGAAGCTACCGCTAAGGTGTGTTTCCGTTACCGCAGCCGATTTCATTGCGAATTGTACTGATTGTAAAAATTATGTGTTTGTTGTGCTTTGATTTTGTTCTGATTGTCATTGGGCGTATAATTTGTTAGTGTAGTAGTTTTTGCTTTTGGGCTGCTGCTACCAACTTGTATGAATTCGCCTTAATCTGTACGATGCACAACCAGTTATATTTCCGGATCTGATTTTAAATTTATATCTACCTTTTTTGAAGAAGGTGTGCGATATGTAAGCGAACGCTTGTGGACAGCTTGGTTAATTTTATACCACACATCCAGTTGGTGTCCACTTTTCACCTGTATTTGTTTATTTGCGTTTGTCATTTTCACAGTACAGCTTGAAAAAAAAAACGTAATTCCTACTTTATTATTATACTACGAAAATATTCCATCGAAATTGCGCAGAACAGCTGCTGATTAAGAGAACTGAATTAATGTCAAATATTTTGCAATTAGTATGTATGTACTTAAATACATTCGCCTGTGTGTAAGTTGCAAAAATTTACCTCAAGTCACTTAACCCTGCTGTGATAACCTACGTCTGCGAGACGTATGCTTTTAAACTTTTCACTATCGCCTTCGCGAAATGAATACAATTCTAAATAAAATTAATCATGTAAAAAATGAAGACTTGAATACTTCATATATTTGAAAAGAATTTCATAAAATTTTGATTACCATAAAATTAAGTCAAGCAAAACAGGATGCGTACCAGCAACTTTCGGTAGGGTTTTCAAAACGGGGTTAAGCATCTTTAAAAAAATGCTGGTGAATTGAAAATTACACTTTGATAAGTGGATTTAAAGTCAACAGGTGGGACAACCGTTTTTTTTTATATTCTTTATATTTCCTATTTGGACTAACACTTCAGGCAAACAGATATATTTCTATGTATTTAAAAGAAATATGTTAGTAAATAAGAAGGCAGTGAGCAGTATTTCTGGTTAATATCAATAAACAAAAAATTCTATGGGAAAGTTTTATGGTTTTTTAGCAAAGTTTTGATAAGTATTCGTTCAAATGATTATAGAACGATTTTTTTCTCCTTCTCTATCAATTTGGGAAAATTTAATTTATAGTACTAACTCATACATATGGACATTTGTATGTATCTACTACCTATATGCATACATACATACTCAAATGATTATGATCTGTCATATGAAGTTTCAATAAGCAAGGCATTTAGATCGATTGGAGGCTTCCTGAGGCGGAGCACTAGCAGAATCTTTACTGATGGCTTCAAAACTTCAGCTGGCACTTCATCTGGGGTACATATCGAAGTTAGTGGAGAATATCTTTACTTCCCGATTGTGACAAATGCTTTGGTATTCCAATCCGAAATATCCTCAAACTTCGAGGGCATGGCCTATGCGGTGCAAAATAGGTAGAGAGGAAGATTTTTATTTTAAGATTTAATTTAGACTACTAGTATATGTATGTGCGCATTTAAAACGCTGCTGCTAATTTTCTTATTCATTATTTTTTCTTAAATTTCAGAAGCGCCCACAATAAATAAGCCATATGACAACATTATACACCTTCCTTCGGTAATTCAAGACAAGCAGCAAAGCGGTAAACATGTTTATCTCAACGAATGAAAAATTAAAAGTGAATTGTTCATTGCAACGAACTATTTTAAAATATACTAAATTCATGCACCTGGAATTACTCGTATTATAAAAACAAACGTATGGCATTTAAAAATTCAAACTAAAAAACAAAAACAAAATTCCATGAGAATTTCCAAATTTAACTGCACTTAAGTTGCTCATAAGCGCTGCGGTGAACAAAACAACGGTATTAAATTCATCATACGCCGTGTGCTCCGCTGGGGCACACGCCATTCAGCACTCAGCTGAGCCAAGCAACTGGCAAACTGGCAACTGGCAAGTACGATAACCTTTAGTGGCGACGCGTAGCTTACCGAGATTTTCACACATCAAGAAACTGACGGAAAACATACGCACACTCACTGGCACAAAAATATACTCACAACATAAAAGAGCAGCTCACATAACGCACGCCGATAACTGGATGAAAAAGAAACGAAAAATGTCTGAGGTAAGTGGAAAAAAGTTGGTGTTCCTTTCCTTTATGCGGTATAATGCTCGCAAAGGTAAATGTGTACGTAAGGTATGTATGTATGTGTGCAGATAAGTATGTATGAATGTATATAAGCGAGGAAACAAATAGTAATCACAGCCATTTTTTTTTCTTTCGAGCATTCCGAATAAAGTGCGTGTTATGCTTTCGAAAGTATGCATTTACGTAATATTTTTTTTTTTTTGCTGTAGCTAACGCACTATTCTTCTTCGTTATCCTTCTTTGCGAAATGTGTTACTGAACAAACTCTTTATCGCTCCTGGCCACTGGCATTCTCTCCACGGTATTTCTTTTGTCACTTTTATTAGTCAATTTTTCATTTTGTCTAACAAAAACTTTTGTTTGCAAATATTTTCCTGATGGAATTCCATCGTAGGAAAAGTTTGATTGTTTGTGGTAATATTTTTGCGGCAGTGGAAGTAAATGAAAATGGCAATGAATATGTTTTGATTGAATAATTGGATTTCGCCAGAATAGAAGGCTTAAAGGGATTAAGTCGAAGGGAAGAATTCCAAAGGAAATTATTGGTTTTATTAGCTTATCTAGATAGTTGCTTATTCTTAACGGGGAAAAGATTGAAAGAACTAAAAGTAAAAGAAAGAAATGCATGTAATTTCTTGAAAGTAAGTAGAACATATTACTTTTTTACGCAAATTTGAACAAAATAAATACATGAAAAATTTCAAATTCTTATGCCCGGTTTCATCAATCAATTTCAAATTTATCAGACTATTAAATTTAAAAATAACACAATTTTACATTATATTTAACTGGCCATAGCATAAAAAATAAAGAAACAATTTAAATTTATTTTTTCGAAGTCGGGAATGCTATCGATAACACAGGCCAACAAAATTTAAACGACTAAATTATTACAGCCGATTCTTATAGGATTTTTTCCCGTAGAATCTGAATCTCGCAGTAAAGATTTTATATTGGCTGTAGTTTTCGAGCAATTTGGGTTTAAAGGTACCGAAAAACGAATTTTAGGCAAATATGTATATCAGTTACTAAGATAATGATGAAAATATCGATAAATGTAAAAAGTACAATAAATTAAATAATTTTGCCCTATAAAATGTACAAACATACATACTTATATAGGTCGATAGCTACAGGAAAAATATTTTAGGTATCGATAAGATAATCGATAAAAATTATGAATAATAAAAAATAAATAAACTCGTTTTACTGATAGAGATATGTACATATATATATGTAGGTAGCAATAAATACTAACCGATAACATTATTTTATTAAAATCAAAATTAATAATAAAATACTTACATATATACTTTGCGCTTAGACTTTTTCTATTTAGTGGTTGGCTGTTGTTGCACAAATGGTGGGACCTACAATTTTACGCTAGCTCCAAACGGCAAGTAAATTGTATGAGAAGCCTTTTCATGGCGCAAATACACTCGAACGTTTGCTTTGACCAGCGATCGAACTTTAGTTCCGAGGAGTCTAACCACTCGGCTACAGCGGCCGCCATAATTTCTCCAAAGAAGGTAAACAAAAATTTACAACAATGGGGGATTCGGAGATTAAATGCACGAAAAAATCAAATTTTCTCTTCTCCTGCTGGTACATCAAGTTCCCATTGAACGTATAAGGCGTACTTACCTAAACTGAAAGAAACCACTTGATGCCGAAAGTCATTCAAATCTCAAAATTTGAGTTCCCGAGTTCTAGTTTTTTGATTTCAAGATAATCATGTAATTATACCGTATTTTTCTCTGTGTACATATGTACTATAAATATGTATGTATTAGAGGGCTGCATGAATGCATTCAAAACGGCTTTTGAATTATTCATATACAAAACGAATGAATGATTTTGGCTTGAAATTTTTTTTAATTTGAGTGAATTGCTGTTCTGTCGACATCACAATATTCAAACAAAGTGAAAATAAATTGAATTGAAATAAATGACAATTTTGTGTATGAATATCCAAAAATATTTTTTCTATGCACATATGTACAAACATACAATGTATGTATGTATGTATTGCTGCGCTCCGATTACATACGATAAAAATTGTTTGTAGAAAAAAACTTTTACCGAACTGAGTTTGAATGATTTGAATGTTTTCCATTCATTCATTCACATTCTTCCATTTGAAGGTAGTAAATATAAAACAAAATGCATATTCATAACTTAAAAGTTCCAAACGCTGAGTGTTTTGTATGTGAAGTAAAATATTCAAATCTACTGTACTCTGTTTGGCTAGAAGTTTGAATGCATTCATGCAGCCCTCTAGTATGTATGTAAATCCATAACTGTTTCTCTGCACAAAGTTTTATCAGCCAAGACGCTTCGAACAAATTTTCCTAACAAACGCTCTCTTGTCAGGATCTATTGCTGCACTTTTCAAATTCACTTTGTTAGATAGTTTTCTTTTATATTATGAACCGACAAATCTTTATGAAAAAAATCTTTAATTCAGTCAAAATTACATAAAGTTTTTTTTAGCACAAACTACGTAAATGCTCCACTACGCAACCAATCTTTGCTGCCAAATGCGCAAAAATTCCAGCCAAACACACAAAGGGCATTAAAAGTAACCAAACTCTAATTAAGAAATAATGGCCGACAACTAATTAACACAATAAAAAAAATTAAAAGTGACAAGGGGACAAACAAAGTTACGCCAGACAAACTTTGCACCAACTCTCTCTCTTCGGATAAGCTGCGCAGTCCAAGTTGGCGTCTAACAAAAAAAAAATTTCTGAGAAGAGCGTCAAGAGTTAGCGTAGTATGCGGCAGTAAACAATCATTAAAAAGTAATTAAACGAGAAAAAGTTAGGTACTAAATATAAAGGAACGCCACAAATATTCGTAAATATTTGTATTTGTTTGCGGGGGAGGTAGACAAACTGGGTAAGTAATCACGCTTAATTGCCTGTGACCACAATGAAAATTTACATAAAATTAGGAGGGCAATTTTTTGCAAACTACGAGCAAGTAAGTAAAAGCGCAAGCAGCAAAAAATCATTTGATAGGAATATTTTGAAAGAACTTTCGTCACACGTGGCCACAGAATAAGAATAAATAGTGAAAACGAATGCAAAATAAAAGTTTTTTATTACAACGTATCAAATTGAAGAGATAAACAAAAAGCTAACACAATATCGGGTGCGTCGGCACTTGGCAGGCAACGAACGACCTCAACAGGCGATTGATCAAATCCACTATTAAATAAACAAAAATACTTAGTTTGCGCTCTTTGTAGCAATCGCGGCACTGCCAAGCGGTGTACTCAGGTATACAAAAAAGTTCAATAACCTGCCAAGTCTAGCTACAGTCATAAATTAAAAAATTTACACAAACACGATTGTTGGACTGGGAAAACAAAATTTGAACTAATTGCCATTCACTGTGATACAATTAAATACTATAGTGGACTGTGTAAACAAACGAATAACTATATAAGTAAAAAAAATTATTTCCGGACAAGTACATTTTTGTATAAATCACTAAGCACGGTGCAAGTATTCTACGGAACACAAGCGACGAAAATCTCATAGAAGTTTAAATGTCATTTTTTTTTTAAGAAAATATCGGCTAAATACGATCCAAATTGTATGAGGACCAAGTATCTCTTGTTAGGTGCAGCACTTTGAGCCTGAAAATCTTATCAATGAGGCAACTACGTTCTTTTAAATTTTTCATAAATTTATGTGAGAGATATTGAAATTTGAAAACAACCGCAACTTTAATATCACTACCTACGCTATTTTTTCTATGATAGATTCCAGGAACCGTAAATAACAGTTACTTTTTTTCAACAGCTAAACTTTGCCAGATATTTTTAAGTCGAAAATAACACAACAACAAGTTTGGTATCAACTGAAAGAAGACTAAAATAGCTTTACAACTGAAATATTTAAACGAGGAAAGCCAGCTATTGAAAAATATCTGAATAAAAAAGGCTTTTTAATTACCATAGAACAAACCTTGGGTCAAGTATATGCATTTCTTTTGTATTAAATTACGAAAAAAAGAATATAAATGGTACCAAATTTGTTTAATTTGGATAATCGGTTTGTTTACTATCCGTAAAGGATTTTATTTCGAACTTAAAAAATATCTGGCCAAGTTTAACTGTTGGAAAAAATAACCCCTATTTACGGTACCTGATAAATTCTTTGATTGTGATGGCCAAAACTTTGAAAACTAATTAGTCTGCTGAAAATGATATTGTAATTAATCTTAATACTAGATTTTGGTCTGTCTCTAGAATCGGGTAGCTTAACATTAAAGAAAAAGATGAAAAGTCGTCAGTTGTCTAGAACTGTTGCGAAGAGCCAGGGAACAAAAGTAACACCGTGGGGCAAAACCAAAAAAAAATCTAAACACAAGAAGCAATGAATATATTTACGGAGCTATGGGCCAAATACTGCAAAACTGCGTTTTTTAGTTTTTCCCTCTGACATCAGGATTTTTAAAGAACTTTGCAGTTTAAAGATACGATTCAGAAAAATATTTAAAAAATTCAGTGCACTGTAAAATAACACCAAGGGTGCCAAATGCGAGAAAGAATTCTGGAGAATTAAAAAAAAATGCCATTTTAAATATTTTTTTTCTTTTTATCTAATAAGGTACAGATAATTTTTTCAAAAATAATTATTGCCAAATTTCAAGCATAACCTTGAGTATTTTAAAAGGACATTTTCTATACCTATTCATACTTATGCAAAACCAAAAAGCTTGATCGGTTTTAATACTACAGAATTTTCTCTTTAATTTGATACCCATATAGTTTTTCCACATTGCACTGAATTTTTTAAATAATTTTTAAATTAAACATATTTTTTCATATATGAAAGTCCTTTAAAAAAATACTGACGTCAGAGCGAAAAATTAAAAACGGAGTTTTATTACACATATTTGGCCAATAGTTTACCGATTTTTTTGTGTTTAAAATTGACTGTCGTACGGTGTAATCATTTGCT